TATGGAATGGACCTCAGGTGGGGATTCACCTAATATGTTGGTTCTGAACATGGCACAGGGGCCATCCTTGGAGTCAAGGTAAGAAGTGAAGCCTGAGCTCCCAGTGAAGCTCTCAGAGGACAATCCTCTCTGCATCAGGGCAATAGCTGTCCTGCAGGCTAAGCGCTATCTGTGTAATAAGCCTGGTTGTTATGGTGACAGGAGGTAAATGAAACTGGGAGAAGAGGGGAAAACGTTACTGTGGGAAAGGGGCCTCTTATATAAGGTAGGTTCCAAAAATACACTTTTGAATAGGAGGTAAGCAGTGTACACCCAGCTCCCAGGCACTGCATGGCATCTTGATAGCAAGAAGATTCCCCCAGACTCCTCCACGCCTGTCTCTGGCTTCATTTTTATTACTCTGGGGTCCTAAATTATTACGATTTCCTGAGAAAGGAATCTGGTTACCAGAAATGTCTACATTCCAGAAAAGGAGCAAAATGTGAGTAAAATGGCTCCTTTAAGGGGTAAACTGACTTCCCCAAAATTAATCAATTGATGGCATCATCTTGTTTTTAAGTTAATCAGGGAATGCAATTTATTCACTTCTATTTCTGATCAAATTAAAAAAAATTTTTTTTCAAGCTACCCAAATACCTATTATTTAATAAGGAGAGCGGGGGAGGATGTTCTGTTGATTTTCCTGATTTCCTCCTTTATGAGCTTAGCCTTGAATTGAAGTAGAAGCTGAAAGTCAATGGAGCATTGTAGCAAAACGAAGAGAACCCTGGGGTAGAAGTCAGAGGATCCACAGCTCATCTGCTCTGCCTCTAACCAGCTTTGTGATTTGGGGCAAATTACTGACCTCCTTCCCAGTTTTATCTTCTACGATTCAGAACCACTATACATACAATTCTGTTAAGCTGCCCCATAGCTGGTGACTTAGCTGTCACCGTCAGCATAACTGTAAAGTCTGACTGGCCACCTGGTGACCCGAAGAACTCGAGTTTGTCTAAGGCTCTCCCCCATGTGTCATTTCATATGACGACCATGACAATGCAGCCCAGGAAATGCCGGATCCCATCTTATAGACAAGATCAGAGAACAAAGCCACCTGGCCAAGCTCCTGGAGCAATGATCAGAGATTGAGGACATACATTATCCCAAACCTGATGGGTGCCCACAACCTGGGCATGTGCCCCGACCAGGAATCAAATCCCACATCTTTCAGTGTACAGGACGATGCTCCAACCAACTGAACCACACCAGCCAAGGCAAATTGTACATTTTTAAATGGCTAATTTTATATTGTGCAATTTTTACCTTCACATATGTGTTTGTATAGATATATGATGGTTCCAGAGTCCTATCCCACTAGTCTCCCTATTCCAATGTCCCAACAGTGCCTCCAAAGAGACCTGGTATGAAAATGAATATACTAACGACTTATTACAAAACTAGAGGCTTGGTGCATGAAATTCGTGCACTGGGGAGGGGAGGGCCCCTCAGCTTGGCCTGCACCCTCTCACAGTCCAGGACCCCTCGCTCCTTACCACCCACCTGCTTACTAGTCCTTACTGCTAGGCTCACTGCTCCTTAACGCTGCCATGGAGACAGGAGAGGCTCCCGCCACACCCACTGAGCTCACCAGCCATGAGCCTGGCTTCTGGCTGAGCGGCACTCCTCCTGTGGGAGCGCACTGACCACCAGGGGGCAACTCCTGCATTGAGCATCTGCCCCCTGGTCGTCAGTGCTCATCATAGCGACTGGTCGTTCTGCTGTAACTAACAGTCGCTTAGGCTTTTATTATATACCAGTAGATGTTATCATAGTTCCAAATAGTTCTCATATGACAGTGATTTTATTCCTAACCCAACAAATAAATATGCCTGGGCGTGTTACATCTTGCTAGTTGGAAACAGACGTTTCCATTGGGCAACCAGCGTCAATGTCAAAGTGATCCAGTAGCTTCAGTTTTAGGATATATTATTGGTTTTAAACTCAAAATTTAAGTATACAGAAAAGATAACAGGAAGTGAGCATTATTTTTGTGTTGTTTTTTAAAAAATATTTTAGTAGATAACTTTATTGTTGGGTAGTAAATGAAATATTATTAAGTGCCTATTATATATTACAAATTTTGCACATTGTTTCACTAAAAAAAGGAATATACATGGGTAATACTTTAAACAATAAAAAAATAAATGTTATTATCCCCATTTTATAGAAAAGGATACTGAGGTTCAAAACTGCTCTGCAACATTCCCCAGTCAGAATTTGCATCTCAGTCTCTCTAGATCAAGAAAAAAGCTTTTTCAATTATGCCAAAGGGTATCAGCAAGTTCTTGCCCCAGAGAAGGCATGAGGACTGATTTCAATCCCACCACGAACATGACTGCAGCCTATAGGCCCCGGAGTGTGTGAAGATGCACACACATACTAGGCCCTTCTAGTACCTCCTCTGCATTGTCTCAGAGGAATTTGGAGATCTGAGCAGTTGAGGCAACTATCTACCTTTTGCCTTCAGTCTGTGCAGAAAAATGAAGACCTACCTCAGCATCTTGCTAACAGAATATACTTAAGAAGGAACTATTGAGGGACAACTTTTGCTAACAAGTTGAAGATAAAGGCTAGCATATCATTTGTTTTCAGGGTTTAGGTTACATCCTATGCAAACGCAAAAGCTCTGGCTTCTAAAGGTAACGTCCAGCTGAGAAGTCTATGTGACATCATTTCCTGTAGTTGGAGTGACGTGGTCTCAGATGTGGACACATGTGATTCAGTGCAACCCTGTGCCTTTTTTGTGGCTATAAACATGTTGCTTTTCCAAGAATATCCTGAAACATTTCTACACAGAGGAGTGGAGATGAATTTCAGCCTTTTTCTCTGCCTGGTAAAGTTACCAAAATGAACATAAAATTCTCTTGTGTAGAAGTGCACCTCATACATTACAAAGTGCTTTCATGAACAATCATTGCTGGCTTTTTTTTTTTTAAGATGAAATTAAGGGAAAATATAATAAATCACATTTAGCTATTAACAGATACCCTTAATAATTGTAGGTAAGGAAAGGGTGAGATGAAAGAATTTTTATATTAGAATTGAAGTCAGATTCTTGAAGTTCAAACTGCTCCTGGTTATCAACTAAAAGAAAAGTCAATGCTTTTTAAATTAAAGATGAAGTACTGCCACTTATGACTTAATAAGTTGTAAATGCCTTTCCCATACTTCCTAATGGCTCTGTGTCCCACTGCTATTAAAAATCGCATCCACAGCTCACGTGAGCTATGCCGAATGCCAGGTGTAGGAGGTAAGGCAAAACAACTTAGAACAAGAAAAAGAAAGCAAGTCATGTTCAGATCCACTTAATGCAAAAATGATTTTGGTGGCAGAGTTTAGTGGGCTGGAGCCACATAATGGCCTTTAAACTTGTTCCCACTAAGGAACTATAATGCTAATGTATCAAGGTCACCTTTAAAATGCTTGAACCAGCATGACACCAAAATCTCACCAGTCTTTCAAGACCTAATCTCTACTAGTGAGATCAATAACCATTAGATACTCATCATAGATTTTTGAGAAATGAGTTATATTGCAATTAATTTGACCAAGTTGCATAAATCTGTCGCTTTTCTTTAAAGATGGCTCAAGAACGCAGCTGCAAGCATGCACACATGGACATTGTCTGGCTGCCATAGTGTTTGAGTTGCTCCGAGGATTTGGCAGACCTGCCATGCTGTCACTTTTAATGTCTAATGGATGAAAGCCACATCTGGCAGGCTCGGCCCATGCAAATGAGAGGTGACCATCCTTGGCTGAGTCTTGCCAACAATGACAGTGTGCACCTCACATGGTGAAGTGCACTATGGAGGGGAACTCAGTCAAGCAGGCACCACCAGCCTGACTCAGAGTATGACAAACACTCCATCAGAGTGACATTTCCTGCAGGGCAGTGGTGCCAACCATGGCTGCACGGTAGAGTCGCCTAGGGAACCTCAAAAATGTCTGTGGCCAGGCTTCCTGTCCCGGCTAATTAAAATCAACATCTGTAGAAGTGGGGGCCCTCACACTGGTGTGTCTGAAAGCTCTCCATACAATTCGAGAATGCAGCCAAGGGGAGGGCAGTACTGCAGGGTGGTTCTAACAGTATCTGAGCTTGAGCCCAGTCAGTGAGGGGCTGCAGTCCAGGAACCTGCAAAACACCACTTGCTGAGGGAAGTCAGCATTCCTCACAGTCTGGAACCATAGCTGACAAGCGCTTTACTTGTCTGGGAGCATTTGGGTCCGACTGATTTGTGGGGGGTATGGGGAGTGCTATTTGAAATGCCTGTCTTTGATTTTTCTGCCTAAAACCACCACAGTGATATTTACTCAACTCTTACTTTGTGGAAGCCAGGAATTTCCGGAAAGCAAAACAAACAAAATACCCAAGTGAAATGTCATTCATTTCAGGTGATTCCATGGGAGGGGGAAATGCTTTCACCAACATCCCAATATGACGTCCACTGGGTAGGTGGGACTGACAGGAACTGTAACTGTTGTAAATATTATAGAAGCACCAGAAGTCAATAAATTGGCTCTGCAAATGTCGAAAGGAAAAGTTTATACTGCAAAGAGTGCAGCCATCATGAAGAAAATAAAAAGGAAGCAATCTAATCACCATGTCCATGGTACCTGTGGGCCTCTTCTGATTTGTTTTACTCTCCCCCTCTGCTTGAGGATTTCAAAGAGAAGCACCACATGGACAGTGCTGGGCAAGAGGAGACCCCGTCACTAGGGGGATATGGGCTTTTAGTGAGACTTTCAGATTCAGATAACAACTATCAATAGCTAGAAATTCATAGGCAAGCTCCATCTCCGAGTCTTCACTTATGATATTCGTAAGTGAAAAATGATTCATTCAATTATTTCATATGTAAGTCTCACTCATGACGTTAACATGTTCCAAGAACTTAACTTACCTGCTGCATAGGGCAAGGGGAGCAGAGTTGATAGAAATAGATGATACAAAAAGCACTTACTGGTTTTCTCTTTTCTTCCTCAGTGGATCCATGAGGCGCAGGGTGTCTCTGATCACGGCCACTTTCACCTCCTCATCGACAACGCTGGGGACATTTTCAAACACCCCTGGAGAAAGCTTGAATGGGTAAGAATTCCATGTTACACTGGAGAGACTCAGGGATTCAGTATCAAGTGACTGTCAATACCCAGTGGTCAAGTTTGCTTATGTTAATCTAGACGAGAATATTTTAAAGATTCCCTATATACTACCTCAGTTTCATTTTACAAATTAACAAAATGCATGAGGAGGAAAAATAATAGTATGTTTTTCTGGTTATTACAATTATACATGCTCACTGTAGAAAATTTAGAAATATCGAAAAAAGTTAAGAAAATTTAAAATCCACATAATCCCCTAAAACCTATTACTAGTACTTGGTGTATTTCCTCCCAGTCTTTTTAATGCATTTTTGGGGGGGGCGGGTGGTGTTGGTGGTGGTGGTAATATAACCACTGTTAAATGTACTATTTATCTTAGTGATTCAAGCATGTCGACATGGCTAAATCATATTCATAGAATTTCAATTAGTTCATCTCCCGAGGCTAATTAGTTCATGTCAGAACTGATGGAAAGGCTCAGCTGCTTCTACATTTCCAGATCTTAAAAATTGGAAGAACAGCATGCTGGGAAATTACCACAGGTCGGATAGGTCTTACATTAATAAAGTACATTCAGAGCTCAACAAAATTGGAGTTATTTAGACTTAAACAGAACTTTGCTGTGCAAATTTGGGAAAGCTGAATCTTGTTTAGCCAAGTGAATAATATGAGAGCAGAAACATCAGCTGTAAGGCAATATATTCAATGAGATACTCAAAAGACTTACTTCTTGCTCATGTTCAATTCTCATGCTGGGATTTGCATTAACTTCAAGTAGTATAGGCTTCAGATTTTTCATTAGAAGAATGTCAAAGCCTAAAATCTGCACAGGATAAAAATAATTCAGAATTACTCCCTCTAGCTGCAATTTCTTTTCAGGAATTGGGGTTGGTGTAAAGGTCAGTAAAGTGAAAATAAATTGAAATGTGGCCCCCAACCTGGGCCTTGACCCTGGCTTCTCTTTTCTGCAGCCCCTCTTCCTCTGGGCATATTTGTCAAGCCAAATGGATGGCAGAACATTTTATAGGAGCCTTGATAATGGGATGAGTTCCCACAGTGCATTGCAACACAGTCACCATCATCTGCAGTGCTAGAGATGATGACCTCTTTCTTCTTTAACAGGTTTTTCATTATGTTAAGGATCAGTAGTAGTCCATCAACTTCTCCCTCTCCTTTTGCTCTCCTCTATTAAGTTGCTTCTTAGCTAGATCTCTGAAAACCCAAAGCTACCTTTCTTAACCTTGGGTGTGTATCAGTATCATTTAAGGACCCCTTTCACAACCACTGTGCATCCCCAATCCACACCTCTGAGTCAGAATCTTCCAGAGTGGAATGCAGACAAATGTATTTTGAATAACAAATTCCCCTGGTGATTCTGATATACCATCTTAGCTAAGGAGAAGGGACTATTTATAAGCACCTACTAGGTACTGGTAACTTCACCATTACATTTAATCCACGTGACAGTGTATTTGAAGTAAAGATTATACTCTTCATAAAGCAGAAACTGAGTCTCAGAAAGGCCAATGGATTTCCCCAAGACAGCCTCCCTAATAAGTGACAGAGCCAGATTTCACACCCAATCAGGACAAGACTACATAATTTGAGGAACCCAATGCAAGATGAAAACACGCATTTCCTTGTTCAAGAAGTATTAACAATGTCGTGATAGTGAGAACAGAGCATGAAACCAGGCACAGAGCCCTTCTGACCACGCGGCCCTGGGTGATTGCGAAGATCACATGCTCACGAATCCGGCTCACACCCACACTAACTCCAAAAGCTGACCATTTGTTGGTCATCTGCCCTTGAACCCCGCATGGTGACTTGGTGAGGCTTTCTCCTCTTCTAGCCTCAATTCAATTCCTTACAAGCCCTAAGCCACCCGTACATCTGCATGAAACAACCCTTCACCTAGATAATTCCTCCTCATCCTTGAGATCACAGGTCCTAATTAGATTCTGACTGAGACAGGGAGGATGTCAGGTTCTTAAGGGACCTTTCATTATCTCTACAGTAGGTGATAAGATAGAAAGCTTATAACATAATTGATGCAATCCCAACATTTCAAAAAATAATGTGGAGAATAAAGGAGAGAAAAGAAAAAGATATAGCTGCACTCTCCTCTGTAGACTCAAAAAGACGGGAGGAAATCCATTTTACTTGTCTAGATGGAATATGCATCAGTTAAATGATAATTATTAAACTATGACTTTATCCTTATTAATGAAATCAGAGCCTAAATGACCATTTGGGGGATAATTCAAGACAAGGTTATTCTTCAAAGAAGGGCAATAAGAATGAGAAGCTGGGAAAAGTCATCCTTACTCTATTTTTCTTTCCCTGGCCCTGAAACGAAAAAAATGGAAATCCAGTAGAAAACGTTACATGTATTATAGAGCTGCTTAATAATATATGACAAGTGGATATGAGTGATGAGGCCTGTAAGAGACTGGTGACATCATCTGTCTAACTTCAGACCTGGTCTGAGACATGTGATGTGGATGAGGCCACGGGGAATGGCGGGCTGCTGTACCAACGTTTATCATCCTTGGTCATCAAAGCTTACTTTTTGCTACATCTTAGAAGTTAGGACCCGGACTTTCTCAGCCTGCAGGCTCTTTCCAGTTCAACACACAGTGGTTTCATGAATGTAAAGCTATAGAAATGCTGGAGAAGGGGTGACAAAACCTCACCAGCCATGCTGACCTAAACCTGCCAGTGGCATAATATTTTCCAGAACCCAAACTTTAGTGCATGTAGCTGGAGAATGGTTTGGAGTCAGAAAGACCTAGACTGCAATTCCAGCTCAGTCTCTTATTCGAGCTAAACAACCCTAGGTATGGTGCTTAGCCTCTCAGAGCCTCATTTACCTTGTTTATAAATGGAGACAATAGTGGCTACCTATTGATCATGGAAGGAAAAAGTACCTAGGACTATGTCCATCATACAGGCGGCTCTCAGCATTTGCTGACTCCCCTTCCAGTTTCTTACTGACTCCCATTCCAGTTTCTTACTGACCAGCTCTCAGCATATGCTGACTCCCCTTCCAGTCTCACTGACCAGAAATTACAACTGTGGCTTTGAGTCCAGAGGAGTTAATTTCAAATTTTAGTTTTGCCTTTAATTTGTGCATGTACAAGCAAGTTACTTAGCAGCTCAGGGCCCCAGTTTCCTCACCTGTAAAATGGGAATAAGAACAGTCCCTACCTTAGTTCATTCATTTGTAAAATAGCTATTGAAATGCTCCCTATGTCCTGGAGCATCCTAGCTTCTGGAAATATAGTGGTGAACTAGACCACGTCCCTGTCCTCATGAAGCAGGACCAAATAAAGATACAATGTGTGTGTGTGGGGGGGGGGGGAGATAGAATGTACACTGAGTGGCCATATTATTATGACCACCCCATCAGTACTTTGTCAGGCCACCTTTTTGCCTTCAATACTGCAGCAATTCTTCTTGGCATTGACTCTAAGAGATATTGAAAGGTGATGTGAGGAATCTGACACCATGCCTGATAAATAGCACTGTCCAGTTCTGTGAGATTGGATGGTGTGGAACCAGCTCCCTGATGGCTCTTTAAACTTCATCCCACAAATGCTAAATTGGATTGAGATCTGGTGGTTGTGGGGGCCACCTAAGCAAGGTAAAGTCTCCCTCATGTTCTTTAAACCACTCCTGCACAATACGAGCACCGTGGCATGGCACATTGTCTTGTTGGAAGAAGCTATCTCCATTGGGATACGCCATCAACATGATAGGACGAACTTCATCAGCAACGATACTTAGGTATGTTGTGCTATTCAGACGTTGTTCCACACAAATTAAAGGGCCCAAATCATGCCAGGAAAACATGCCCCAAATCATAACACTGCCCCCATCAGCTTGAAGGGTTGTACTCATGCATGTGGGGCACATACTTTCAGGCTATTTCCGTGAAATTCTCACTCTGCCGTCTGCATGATGCAATTGGAAATGTAATTCATCGGACCTCATGACTTTTTTTTCCCAATGACCGACTGTCCAATCCTTGTGTTCCTGTGCGAACTGGAGACGTTTTATCTTGGTAACTGCAGACAGTAAACGTGTTCCAACAGGCCTTTGGCTTCCATATCCCATACATTGCAGTGTATGGCTAATTTGCCTACAAATGTCAGGTGATCATAATAATCTGGCCACTCAGTGTATTTTGCATGGTGCCTGACTGTAAGTATTAATGAAAGTTAGCTTTAGTTTATGTGTTTTTCACAAGTTCAAGGAAATATGAGTTTTCTTTTCAAAAGTTTAATGAAATATGTTGCACCAATGGATCTCAATAAACAGAACGAGGAGGAGCTTAGAGTGAACCTTGTAAAATCCGAGAATGATGAGCTGGCAGAAAATTGGGATTTACCTGATCCAGTGTTTTTCAAAATTGGGTGATTTTTTTTTTTTCTTCTGGGCACTAGAGAGGCCAGATCAGATCAACTTTTACCTATTTTCCATACTGGGGTTCCTAGGAAAAAAGTTCCATTGGAAAAAATTACTAATCTAGTCTAACATCTGCTTTATGCAGACCAGAAACCTGCAGCTCAGGAAGGGGGAGGCCTCTCTCTGGTTCCATGGTAAAGCAGGAATTGTCAAATGGTGTGAGAGAGAGAGAGAAGAGAGAGACCTTTTCGATCATGTGATACTCTGCCCTCCTCCAAGTAATTCACGTATGTATTGCTTGCCTCCTCCACATATGTGTTGCTTGCCTCCTTCTTGAGGAGGACCATGGGGAATAAAAGATCTCTAGTCTTCATCTCTGACTTCTAGTAGCTTCCAAAGTTGGGGAGAACACTAATGTGAAGGCTCCAAACTACATTCCAAGGAGAGGGGATTCTCTCCTGAGATCCAAATCTACACATCCATTTGCATCCAGGGTATTCCAAGTGAAGTCCCAGACTCCTCAAATCAAACATCTCCAAGCTCACTTTCTGTGGTCGGCAACCTCAAAGGTCCCAATGACCTCGACTTCCTGCTGTTCATGCCCTTGTTTATCCCTCTCTCCTTCAGTGTGGACTGAACCTGATGACTTCTTTCTAATAATATAGGGCAGAAATGATGGAACGTCACTGCCAATATTGGGTTATAAACTATCATGACTTCCACCTTGGCATGCATTCCCTTAACTCCCTTGTTCGCTCACTCTGAGGGAGGCCAGCCTGTGTTGTGAGCTGCCCCATGGAGAGGCCCAGGTGGGACAACAGCTGGGGGCGGAAAGCAGGGACCTGAGCCAGCAGCCATGAGAGTGAGCTTGGAAGAGGATCTCTTCCCAGTAAACCCTGGCCAACATGCTCACTGCAGCCTTGTGAGAGATTCTGAGCCATAGGCAGTTGGCTAAGCCTAGACTCCTGATCCACAGAAACTGTGAGACAATAGTTTACTAGTTCAAGCTGCTAAATTTTGGGGTCATTTGTTACACAGCAATAATTAACATACTATCTTTCTAAAGTCGACTTTGCCTACACAGTATTCCTTATCACCCAATCACACAAGCCAAAAATTTCTCCTTCATCCTTTCTATCTATCTGCACACCAACTCTTGTACATTCTACCTCCAAAGAACTGTCTAAATCTGCCCTCCCCTCACTGCTCCTAGTCTGAATTAGGTCTGCACCATCTTGCTGGGACTTTCCCATTTGTTACCCTGGGCACAGGGGGCTGACACAGTATTTTTATAAAATGCAATTAGAATATCAACACTCCTCTGCCTAAATTCCCTGCCTACAGAATGAAGCCCATGCTCCACAGCATGGCCTACAAATTCCTCTCTGATCTGGCCTCTGTATCACACTCAGC